CATTGGTACAACGAATGAAGTATTCCATCATATTGAACTATCCGATTCGACACCATTCAAACAGCGTTATAGGCGTATACCACCTGCCATGATAGAAGAAGTGAGAACACACATTAAGGAGTTGCTTGCTAGTGGAGTGATAAGACCTTCCCAATCACCATTCTCATCTAATGTGGTATTGGTAAGAAAGCATGATGGTACATTGAGAATGTGTGTCGATTACAGGCAACTAAACTCACGGACAGTCAGGGATAACTATGCGTTACCACGGGTTGATGAGATCCTGGATTCCCTGTCTGGTAATCGTTTCTTCACTGTCCTCGACATGAAATCTGGGTATCACCAGATAGAGATTTTAGAGGAGCACAAACAAAGGACAGCCTTTACAGTTGGTCCGCTAGGCTTTTTTGAGTTCAACAAAATGCCCTTTGGACTTGCGAATGCTCCAGCGACTTATCAGAGACTACAAGAGCAGTGTCTTGGAGATCTTCATTTAAAAATTTGTTATATATATCTTGATGATGTTATAATCTTTTCCAGGACAATTGAGGAACACCTTGACCGCCTCAGACTTGTTTTTGATAGGTTTAGGAAGTTCGGACTAAAGCTGTCTCCTAAGAAGTGTCATTTCATGATGAAAAGGGTCAAGTACATTGGACATATCATTTCAGAGGACGGGGTGCAGGCCGACCCAGAAAAGGTAAGTAAAGTTCTAAACTGGCCCAAACCTAAGACTCCTGAAGAGGTTAGACAATTTCTTGGATTTTCAGGATACTATAGGAAATTCATACATGACTTCTCTAAGATTGCGCGTCCCTTAATCAACATTATGGCCACTGGTAAGAAGTCGAGAGGAAAAAAGGCACTTCCTTCAAGTTGGCAATGGGGACCAGATCAAGATGCTGCATTCAACAGACTCAAGGAATGTCTAACAGCAGCCCCAGTTCTAGGATATCCTGATTTTAGAAAACCCTTCGAACTTCACACAGATGCTAGCCTCAGTGGACTCGGAGCTGTGTTATATCAGGATCAAGACGGAACAAAGAGAGTCATTGCCTATGCCAGTAGGGGTCTGACAAAGTCGGAGAGGAATTATCCCATTCACAAGCTGGAGTTCCTTGCTCTTAAATGGGCAGTTACAGAGAAATTTTCGGACTACTTGACTGGAACCCAATTCTCTGTATTTACCGACAACAATCCCCTCACTTACGTGCTGACTACGGCCAAGTTAGACGCCACTGGACACAGGTGGATAGCTGCATTATCCTCGTATAACTTCAGTATCACCTATAAACCAGGTAAGTCAAACATAGATGCTGATATTTTGTCTAGGTTACCAGCACAGACAGAGACACTTGATGCTGAAGCTGTTCGAGCCATTACAGACACAGGAGAAAAGCAGCCTTATATCCAGACACTCCCTGTTTCACCTGCTGTTTGCCAACAGTTGCAGATACCTATAATAGATGACAATGGCAGTCATATTGATCTGAAACAGATCCAGAAGGAAGATCCATACATTGCATCTGTCATAGACTATGTTAGAGAAGGAAAGAGACCTCCAAGAAACTCAGCAAGGTGTGAAGCAGAGGCAATTCTACACCAGAATTATAAGAAGCTGAAGTTAGATGAAGGTATACTTGTACGAGAAACACAGAGAGAGGGTACTACTCAGAAGCAGTTTGTTGTACCATGTAAATACAGCGAAGTGATACTGCAACATTTACATAACAACATGGGCCACCCTGGAAGGGACAAGACAACATCATTGGTTCGAGAAAGATTCTACTGGCCGAGAATGTATGCAGATATTTCCAAGTGGATAGAAGAATGTGGGAGATGCATCAAGTTTAAGACACCTGATAATCAGAAGGCATCCTTGGTCAACATTGTAACAACAGAGCCACTAGAGTTAGTCTGTATGGACTACATGACCTTAGAACCATCCAAAGGGAACATACAGAATATCCTAGTGATGACAGACCATTTTACGAAGTTTACCATCGCCGTACCCACTAGGAACCAAACAGCAAAGACAACCGCTGATGCTATCTACAATGAATTTATTGTCCACTATGGAATACCACAGAAACTACATTCCGACCAAGGAGCAAACTTCTGTAGCAGCATCATAAAAGAACTTTGTCAAACATTTGGAATTTCTAAGTCTAGGACCACACCCTATCATCCTATGGGTAACGGAATTACTGAAAGGTTTAACCGAACACTCATCTCTATGTTAGGAACTTTAGACCCAGAGCAAAAACACAACTGGAAAAAATACATCTATCCATTAGTTCAGGCCTACAACTCAACTATTCATGACTCTACAGGATACTCGCCATATTTCCTTATGTTCGGCAGAGACCCCATTTTACCCATAGATCTCATATTTGGAATTGACAGAAATCAACCTTCAAAATCAACTTCTTCTTATATACAGAAACTGCAGAAGAATCTCCAAAATGCGTACCAACAAGCCCAAACTGCCCTCAAGAATTCACAAGAAAGACAGAAGTTATATTATGACACCAAAGTAAGAGGAAGTACTCTAAAAGAAGGAGATCGAGTTTTGATCAAAGTAGTAAAATTCGAAGGAAAACACAAGATTCAGGACAGATGGGAAGAACATCCATACATAATCATAGGGCAACCTAACAACTCAGTTCCTGTCTTTAAGGTGAAGAGAGAAGATGACCAAGGACGGACAAGGATTTTACACAGAAACCTCTTATTACCTATTGGGTCCAAGCTCGCTTCACCTGTTCCAGCACCTAGGCGTAAACGTCCAGGGAAGCATAGACAAGACAGAGACGTAGAGACAACACAGAATCAAAGTGATACAGAGGACCTAGACAGTGAGTATTGTTTCAGCACAGTAAATCACACAGTGCCATTGCAACATACACCCGCTGTAGATCAAGGTCAGAATGTTCCCACTGTTACTGGTGACGATCAGGAAGGTGAGGAGCACCTGGAGAATGGATCAGGGGAGGACGCTTCCAGTCAGAATATTGATGAATCTGATGATCCAGAGTCCAGCGCAGTTGATGATGCACATGACGAGAGCGCAGTCAATGATGCTGATGACGCACATGACCAGAACGCAGTCCATGATGCTGATGACGCACATGATGAGAGTGCAGCAGATGATTCAGATGATGATCTGAATACTACAAGTGTAAACAGTCCTGAACTTGAAGAAGATGATAACGACGAAGACGACGAAGAAGAAATGCCCAGAAGATCAGGTAGATTACGGAAGAAACCAGGTTGGATGGGTGATTTTATTTGCAAACAACAGGTTTTAGATTGGACGAAGAAGGCAGAATGTTTTAAAGAAATGGCGTCTGAATTGAAAGGTATGGACGAAGAGATGTCAAAGGTATTTTTGAAGATGATTACAGAGAAATTTTAATTTGTACTACATTCTGATTTTAAAGATTATTTTTCAGCAGTTATCGAGGTAAGCCTCCTTTAAATGACGTGGAAGTCATTTCAAAAGGAGGGGGAGTATGTAAGAGTGATGATTTATTAATTAATTTCTAATTAATTAATGAATATCAAATTATTTTTTGTATCCTATTTGTATATATTTTTTATTTCAGCTTATTAGGTAAGTGTATGGCCATTCAGGTGTAACAGACAGTGCTACCCTGTTATTTGCCTTTAAGGATATAATTAAGGTCCTGGCCATAAGTTCTATAAGTCATTTGTTTCTATTGGGTTTTAGTTTTGTGTTCTTGTGTTTTATTGGTTTGTCAAATTCCCTCCAAAGTGTTCTTGGTCTTTCTGGTCATTCTTTGTCCCGATTGTTTGTAGAGAGGTGCCATTGATTTGGTTGTGACAGAATTTGACTATTTGACATTCTGACTGTGACTCTCTTCATCTTCTGGTAAGTTAATATTTATTTACAAACTTTAACATATCTTTAATATATAGTTCATTAAATGTGAAATCTGTAATTTCTGCAATATTAATTTCCATAGCACTTTTGCACAGTAAGAGAGATTTTGGAAGTCAGATTTTTACTTAGTTATTAGCAGCAAAGTTAAAGGTATTTTTATGATCCAGATAATATGTACATATGTGTTTTATGATCAGAGAATTATGTAAGGTTTATGATAATTTATAGTTATCATCTGGACTCCCAGCCATATACTGTAGTTGTGTGATAAACCATATGGGAGCTTGCCTATTCCCTCAGAATGGTATGCTATTGTTTTTATGATTTATTGTTTATAAGAAAAAGGTACATAATGTCTATGAAGATATTATAGCTTTAATAGTAATATATATTTTGTTGTAAAGTATTTTAATTGTATGCACAAAGTGTAAATTCTAAGGGAGATATTATATTATATCCAAGATGTGTAATGAATGTAAGAGTTACCTCCCTTTATGCAGCATTGTGTATAATATTGAATTGTGCATTAATGATTTTATGATTTTACTCAATATTGTTATTATTTATTTCAGGGCAATAGTGAATATATTTATATCTACAACCATTAATAAACAGTGTGTCGAACCCTGACAGGTGTTTTCGTTATTACGATTCCATAACCCTGTTACATACTGATCAAAATAAATAATTAAATTGGACAAAAATTGACCATTTACCTATGCTTTTACAAAATGTTGTTTTCAATGAAATATATAGAGAAAAAATAAAATTATCTTCACTTTTGGCACGCCACTGTACCACAGGGGCTTGTGGATGTACATTTATTTAAAACTGTGATGGAGAGATTTTCAGCGGGTTTTAGTTTTAATCATCAAATTAAGATTCATAATAATTAACACAAAACATTTAACAAATAAATACACCACCATCAGTCCATCACAATGAGCTACAATAACAGCCTAACAAACTAAAAGAAAAAAAAGTTGACACTTTTTCAGACGGCTTCGTCTACTTTCGCTTTTAACATGTTTAGGCTTAAAATGATCATTGATGCATTTCCCTTGATTTGAACGCTTTGCTTAAAAAAACATACCTATGAAGATTCTTTTATCGACAACTAGGCCATATTCATCCCTCTGACAACGAAGTCCTACATAAAGTTGAACCTAGAACTCAAAGTCTACAACTTTTATTTTTAAAATGAAAGTAGATGGTCGTTCTCAAGAATGTCGTTTGGGGAACATTTAATTTTGATCGTCCATTGTGGCCCCACCCTACCCTTGGGGGACATATGTTGAACAAACATGAATCTACACTAGCTGAGGATGATTCCACATAAATTTCATCTTTCCTAGCCCATTTGTTCCTGAGAAGAAGATTTTTAAAAGAATTGCCATTATTTTTTCACTAATTCATAATTACACATTTTCTCTACTTGGAAGAGGGTTTGGCCCTTCATTTGATCAAACTTGAATCCCCTTAAACAAAAAATACTTTGTAGCAAGTATCAGTGGCGGATACTCAGAAATCTCATCCCGAAAAAATACTTCAACTTCCAAGATAAAAACCAAACAAACCATAGCAAGACTGGAAATCCAAAAGTCCCAAAACTAAACTAATATACTACACAACCTGCTGGCAAAACAGCACGGGACAAAAGTGACCAACACCACCAGAGAAATTCAAAACCTGTCTATGATCACCAGTCATGTGATAGGTCCAAATAAACCAATCGCCCAACGGAGTTTTGGCGGGAAAATAATTAAATTAATTCAATAACATTTTAAAATAAATCAACACAAACAAATTGAACATTGATACATGTAGTTCATACTGAAGAATAAGGTACATGTATACTGAAGAATAGTTTGTAAAATTGTTATAAAGGTATGATTTTTGCTTAATATTTACGAGAGGAGTGTAAATATTAGAAAGATAATTTGGTTCGGTGGGTTGGTATAAAAAGTTTAAATACAAAAGAGTACATTTATGAGAGATGATAAAAAAAGATGGCCAATATTCTTGCTTTGACCTGTTGACAGGCCCTCTGATGGACATATGGACATACATGCACTTATGTATACATGTAAAGGACTATTTGCAGTATATTGCATAATTTTGCCCCCACAAAAGTCATATTTTGAAAATTTATTGAAATTTGCTGAATTGTACAAATTGTATGAGAAATCTAAATTTATAAAAAATTATAGTTTCAAAGCAGCTAAGGTATTGACAATATTTGTTTTCATGACGTCACAAACTATTTGGATTTTGTGTTATTTTTTCCAAAAGAGGAAAAAAAGACATAATTTGCTCATTTTATACTATAAAATTAATAGAGCGCTGGCCTGCTCCAGAACAATATTTACATATTTCATTGATATTATCTTCTTACAACGTGGAGATCGGTCCTTCGGATGAGACCGCATAAACAGAGTTCCGTGCCGCAGTAGGTGATTGCACGAAAAATTAATTATAAGATCCCTCCTTGCTCAATGGCCTTGAGTGACGAGTATATAAGACAAAGTTTGCAGCTCTCCACCTGCAAGGGTGGCGTCTCCATATGAGTGTTCGAAAAATTCTTAAACCTTATACAAACAATCAATCAATATTTCTACACGTTATATCAAAATACTGAGCCGGAGCAGACCTGCGCTCGGTTACTTTTACTCAAAACATCGACGTAATATACACATTTTTCTGAAGAAATCATGAACATTTTGAATTTACGTCTTTTTCCTGAAGTCATGTAAAACATATGACGTCATGGCTTATGAAAATATTGCCTTGAAGTCTGCAGATATCTCTCTGTATATATTAGAACGTTGTTATATATATCTCTGTCAAAGTTTGATAAGGGGGGGGGGGCAGGTATTGGTCATGACCGACCGAATATAGTCCTTTATCACTGTTAATTTATCATACAATTTTTTTTAAAATTGTATCTATTACAAATAGAAGGGTTTTGCTTATTAACCAACCTGATTTTGAAAAATTGTTAAATTTAATTTTTAAAACGTTAAAAAACATGATACTCAGTAGTTTATTCACTAAGTAAATAAATGGTTAAAACCATGATTCATTTATCACCAAAAGAATGCTTGCAAGAATATAACCGAGAAGCATTGTAACTATGCAGTGTATGACCTTGTGACTTCACTAGATGCACGGACTACCCTGATCTTCCATGTTGATTATCTATGTATGTGTGCGTTCAATCGGAAAGCGATTTCCTTTTACGTAGTTGATGTTTTTTCATACTTGTGCAGAACGATGGTTTGTGTTTGTAAGAGTCTTATCGATGCAACAAGTTGATAAAATGACACTTGAAAAAAAAATCCTTGAGCGGGGAGGAGAGGGAGGGGGTGTGTTTCAATCACAGTGGAGAAAATGACAAGAGAGATCACGTTGACAAGCTTGCACAAGATGAAGATGTTTCCTAAAAACAAGACATTATACCACATTACAAAAACTCCGAGTGGAGGATTCAAAAGCACAAATTCACCATTGCGAAAACAATGTGGAGAATTGCCTCTGGTATAGAAGACCTTCCCTTTTGGAAGGATCATTTGGATAGAATATCAAATCAGGAATATCCATCGATATCAACAGAAGAAGCAGAAATACATTTGTAAGTAGGGGTATAGACACTTTGGACATTGATACCAAAGTTAAACCAATAGAAGAAGTAGAAGAAACTTCAAAAAGATGTGAAAGCCCCATGGATTGATCAGGTACAATCATGCAGAAATGTTAAAAGCTGAGGAAATATTAACACTCAGATTTATCAAAGATATCCTGCAAATTATTTGGAAGAAAGAGACAGCATCAGATGATTGGATAGATTCATTGTATGTTGTTTAACGTCCCTCTAGAGAATTTTGACTCATATGGAGACGCCACCACTTGCCGTTGGAGAGCTTCAAATTTTGTCTCATACTCGGCACTCACAGCCATTGAGCAGTGAAGGGTCTTTTTTCGTGCCAGCACCTACTGAGACATGAAACCAATGTTTATTCTGTCTTAAAGGACCAATCTCCACGTCCCAGAGTGGGATTCGAACCCGCGACTGAAGGATAAACTTCTTTACTCGCAACTTTAGAGCAGACGCTCTAGTTCTACATGTAGCCATATGATTGGAAGGTTTGTATCATAATGATGCTGCCAAAGAAAGGTGAATAATAATAAGCTAGCATAGAGAGTTGGAGAGGAATTATGTTTTTGTCAGTCACCAGAAAAGTCTTGAGCAGAGTCATCTAAAACAGTGGTAGACCCATACCTCCGTAAAGAAGAAGATGGAATCAGAAAAGAAAAATCATGCACAAACAGATATGTTCCTTGAGGCACATTTCAGAACAGAACAATGAATGGAATGCAATGTTGTATGCCAGTTTCATCTTCTAATTGCAAAATCATTTGACAGTATACATCGTCCTGATTTATGGATGATCCTCAGACATTACAGCATACCTAACAAGATCATATCCATCATTCAGATGCTATACAAAGACTTCCAGGCAAAAGTGATCTTTGGCACAGAACTTATAATAACCGACAGTTTTACAATCCAAAAGTGGGTACGACAGGGATGTCTGCTTTCACGTGCACCATCATGATTGCTCTTTACTTTCTGCCTAGACTGGGTTATGAAATGAAACATATGGAGATATCAAACAGTATTCAAGATCAAAAGTCCATAAAATAATGCAAAATAGGAGCAGGGCAAACATGGACCTCCAAAACATCAGAGGTGGGATCAGGTGCCATGGAGGAGTAAGCATCCCCTGCCGACCGGTCCACCCACCGTGTGCTTCTTGTCATTATCAACAACAGAATAGAAGAAGTAGGCAATTCTATATACCTTAGCAGTAAGATCATAGCCAATGAAGATTCCACCATGGACGTTGAAATAGAATTGCAAAAGTCCGTGCCACCTTTGCCAACCTATGGGAACACAAAGAACTCTTCAATTATCAGAACCAAAACCAAAAAGGATATTCAAAACAAATAACATGGGACTCCTCCTTCATGGATTATGGATCTGAGTCCTGGAAAGTGACAAACAACATAACTTAAAAACTAGATATATGTACCTTCCAAACAAGATGTCTTCGTAGAATATTCAAGATATCAAGGGGCATGTTGCAGCAAATGGCAGCAGACAGGCAGATATGGAGAAGCTCGGTGCAGGCCTTATGTGCTCAAAGCACGAAGAGGATTTAGTAAATGAGTAAGTACAATTTCAATTGGTTGCAGAATTTTCCTCATATCAGTCACAACAATACCAAATTTGATTAATTTTCAGCATGTCCTAAAGCACAGGATAGCACCAAATGATAAAATTTCCCTTCAATAATTGCCGGAAAGCACAGGAGTTCCCGTACCTATCAATTTTACCGAAATTTTTAGCAAATAAAAAACCGTTATACCTTTAATATTAAAAGTGTGACGTATTTTTTATTTACAAAAAAATCTATAAAATTGATAGATACGTGAACTCCTGTGCGGAAAGTACATGTAGTCGATTTCAAATGCACAAGGATAAGTTTTAAGTATATGTCTTTAAAACTGTCGAGCATAGTCGAATTAATTCAGTACTCTTCATAAAATTGATAAGTTTCTAAATATTGATCACGGAACAATTTGCAATTAAAGATGGCACCAGGAACTCTGACACATGTATCTTTTTTTCTTTGAATTCGATCTGGCCTACTCATGTAACCTGTAGGAAAGAAAGTTCCTTAACGCAATTTTTTACAGTGTGTACAATGTATGTGTTCCTATGCATAACTTTGAATCTACACTACCCGGGGATCCTTCCATATAAATATGACCAATCATGGCTTTGCTGTTCTTGATGAAGAATATTTATGAAAGCTTCTATTTTTTAAAGTTATGTAGATTTGAAAGCACAAATTAAATATAAGTAATTATAATATGATCAAAACTTGAAAAATGAAAAAAAAAAATGTATTTGCAAACATGAGTATCATGGCGACCAAAAATTTTTCGAAATGCTGTTTATCAAGGTTGTTGGAAGCGTTGCAACATCAATTATTTTGTCAGCATCCTGTCTCAGTTTAAAAGTGTGCAGAGCGTGCTTTAGCGTATCCAATATGTTGGAAGACAGATGATAATGAAGTTTTACATATACACTTCATAAATTAAAAGATATTCCATCACTTGGTAAAATATATAGATATAGTTATATAATTGTACATCTTATTTCTTATCCGTTTCATTGATTTGAATAATATATATTTTAACAAAATACCAAGAAGTTGACGAAGAAAATGCCAACGTCGGGACGTTTGTCATAGTTTAGTTACATGTGACGACTAAAACGTCCTGATTACCAGTAAATTATACAAATATGGAACAGATGTGGTAGACCAAGATAACAAATATTAAGATAACAGTTGTAATCAAGCTTCATATACTGTGACATTTCTATCATGCAATTTTTATTATTTGCTAAGATCACAATAGACACAACAGATAGTAATACACATTAACATTGCTGTTTCATTACATTTTATTTGTTTGCTTGTCTTGTCTGGAAAACGTTGAAACGCAAAATCCTGACATCAGAATTTTGTCACGTTGTTGAGAGAGTAGTCACTTTTCAGTGGGGGACAATTTCCTATAGGGTGCACATACAGGAGTGCGACATTTAGGTTTTTCTTCCTTAGTAGACCTCAAAAACTCCACGTGCCCTCTCAAGGAAAGTACTGGTCTCTCGCTGCTCAATGGCCCTCTGTGCCGAGTATAGGTCTAAAAACCGCAACCCTCCACTGGCAAATGGCTGTGTCTCAATATGAATGAAAAATTCTGAAAAGGGATCCGGAAGTTAAAAAAAATTAACTGATAATTTTATATCTTAGTTCAACATTATAAGATTATTTCTAATACAATGTTATAGTTCAGATTGGAGCCATATTGTACAATATAAAATTAAATACGATTACTTTCGGTAAAAATAAAAAAAAAAATGTAGGATTTTTTTTTCATATAATCTCTTCAGTATTTATTAATCAGTCAGAAAAGTAGATCATTAGGGAAAAAAAGGATAGACTCTAATTCTTTTATGTAATATGTATTTCTTTGTATGTTCCATATATACCTGATTTTAAAGGAAAATGATGTATAATTAAATTGATAATAAATCTGTTTGAATTCGTTATGTCATTGCATGGTGACTCAAAAGCGTTTTGCGATCATTTTGTCACAAATAATTTAATTAACGTTGTATGTATCAATCAGCTGAGATGAAAAGGAAACAGTAATGACAATATTAACAAAATGTCTGTGTAAATTCTGAATTGTATAATTTTAAAGAATAACCTCTATGTTATTTATTAAAACGTTTGTGTTATAATAGTAATGTTATCTGATGAAAACAGATCTAAAGAAAAATACTAGTAATACTTGTATACTTTTCTTTAATATTCAGTATTATTTCACAGTACAGATTCTATTTGTTCTAAAGTTTTAAACGTATGTCGTGTTTTTCTTGCTATACATGACTTTAGGTGCTGTTTATAATTTTTTTTGATAGATTAAAAATGTTTTAACGTTTCATAATTATATATTGAATGTGAAAAATTTATCAACTATAAATTAAAGTAATTGATGTTGTTTCCATATACCCGTCATGAGGTTCTGCACTGTCCGCTTAAATTAAAGAACAGTATTTAACCGGACTTTCTTGTTATAATTATATAAGGTTGTATAACTACAAATATTTTTGCTTTTAAAAATATTTTGAACTAGAAAAATGTGCAAAATTTTTCATTTTACAAGACATGAATAGATTTGTTCCTTAGACTATAATAATGACAATAATATCTTAATTTCTTAATTATAGCATAAGAAACTTCTATCGCAGATGGTAGGTTAGGTTATAAGAATATTTACAGGTGTTTATTTATTCCTTTTATGAACATTGCATGCTTGTTTAGAAAATAAATCTGCACCAATCCTGTTTTGATAGGTGATCAGTTCATATCTTATGCACCGAAATAAATGCTGGTATATTTATATAACGTTTATAATGATGGTTATTAGCAGGTCAACCACTTTAGTTTTTTATATCTTGTGAGTTTTCTTTCACATTTATAAGGTTTTACTACATTTTCAAAATATTAAAATACTTTTAGATAAATAATAAAATACTTAAACTAGTAAACTTTCGTGTTTTTTTAGATGGTTGTGTTTCATAAGAAAAATTGGAAATTAATATCCTATTTCCTGAATAGTACTTCGTTCGGTCAATAAACCAATTAATTGTCCAATCACGACTTTTTATTCCATTGAGGTTAAATATGAATTATGACTGTTGATGACAGAAAAGGGAATATACAAGGACCTTTACAAGAAAAACATTTCCCAAAAAATTTTGTTTTATTTCGGTAATTTATTATAACAAATCGTTAACATGACCACGTCCCTGTTATGCGTATTATTATGATCTATTTATCACTGCATGTAATGAACCAACACATAACAAACCACCGGGACCAGGTATATGTTTGTAAGACCACGACGTGAACTCATTATAAGGCAGAGTTCTCTCGGAATCAAAACAACAGAAATCAATGACAGGTCAGTCCAAAAATAAATTCCAACTTGTTCGACAAATATATTAATTTAATTCTAATGTTATATTTTTTGTTGTTGCTATTTAATGAATTTCTCTATTTAGGAAGTATTGATTTTTTTATTACTTGCTTTTTGTTGATTTTATATTATTGATTACATTATGCACTATGAATCTGAATGTTATTTCTTGGTTTTGTATGTTTCTTTAATTATATATCATTTTATATATTTTCTTTAAAAAAATCTTTAGTTCTTTTAGAATCTCAATATTTTTATTTGCTTAAAGGTTTTCCAATTTCCTTGAACACCATAATGTTAATATGTTAAATGCAGCGTAAAGGTTCACTTTCTTCACCTTTTGAAGCTTCATAACCAACTCAGTTATACTTTTTACTATACTATTATAATCTTGATGTTCATATTTTTAAACCAGAATCGGCCTTTAAGGTATTTCCATCCTCGTGTGATGTCATAGGTTTTCGTGATATTTGTTAATAATTTCAATTCATACCTAAAAGAAATATATCTATATATATATCTTTTGGATATATATATATATATATAGAATGTCTTTTAATAAGTGTTATATAAAATATTGTTTTAATTAGTAAAATAATTAAAAATTTGAATATTTTCATAATTTAATCAAATATTCATGATCAATCTGTTAAATAAATTGCTAAGGGCATTAGTTTCTTCTCATGTATCTTCATTTAGTATCATTCTTTATTTACTTCTGATGTAAAATGTCTGCTTGTTATTCAAAATTCAAACATTTTAATGAAGAAACAATTATTTGAGAACTTTCAGCATCAGAATGTTTATGTATTTGAACCCTTTTTAATAGTTTTTACCATACTGGTTACAAAAATTAATGTTTTTGTAATGTTGGCACATACTTCTTTTTAGTTATGTCTAACATCTTAAGAAATATAGCAACCTTTACATTTTTAGTGATGATTACTTAATTTAAACTATATTCAGTAAAAATAATTGCAGTTTTTCTACTTTGAACCCTTAAAAATTGTGAGTATGGAAATGCCTTTAAATAGAAATCCTGCTTTTAGAGATATTGAAAAATAATTCAAAGAGAGGCAATTTTATTTTAAGATTCAAGTTTTATTATCATTTTTTCAACTAATATGAGGTGTCAAAATCCAAGAAACAAGCGGATGCAAAACATAGAAGTAACTTGGGTTAGATTTGTACAATTATGGGCCCAACAACTGGGTTATTTAGTCTCTTATAGATTTACCAAAATGGTTATATACTAAATTCTGCATATACAATTATGATTATTTTACTTTTTATTCTCATCACAGCTGCCATGCATTTTATTGCCGTGTCCGTGTTTTTATCTCTGATGTTTTTGGCAGCTTTTGCCCAATATGCCCCTATGTGTAAGTATACCTATTACCTTTTTTTGAACATATTCCCCTTAGGCATTCGAGACTGAGTAAATACTTACTTATATTTTGAAGTTGTTTTCCTCCCCAAGATTTTGATTAATAAATAAATAGATTAATGTTAAGTATTCTATAATTCTATGTCATTCTACCCCAAATTTCCTCAAACAAATGCCATTTACTGAAGGGAATCGTGAAATACATATATAACATGATTTTGTTCATATCTTTCTACCATTGTTTCAATATATTGCATTTGATTAGTGCATTAGCAAGTTTAAGTTTGTTGAAAACACGTCATGTTTACTCTAAAAGCGTATAAATACCCTTGTTGTATAATTCAAGAGTAAGTTAAAAAAAATGTAATAATTAAGTCCATCAACAAGTATTATTTTACCTCTTGCATATCATCTAAAATTTGATAATTTGTAATTATTTTTTTTTACTGTTGGCATTTTAATATTTAATTCATAAGCTCATATGTATTTAGTTTCATACAGATGTACTTTGATATAATTTGGACTTTCAATCAGACGAACAAAAGAAACATATTTTTTCATATCAAAGAGGGGGGGGGGGATAGTGTTTCAAAAAAGTCCATGGACAGTCAGGTTTTCTACAAAATAAAAAATAAAACTAAATAAACTATGTAAAATAAACGTTGGTCGTTAATACTGAATATTGTGTGATTAAAAACATTTACACATGTACTAAGTATCTTAATGTTTAAACATGAAATATTTTCTTTAAAAAATATATGACGTGTGTCAATAGCATATTTTTCAATAATTTAGATTTAATTAATTTCAAGAAATCAAACAAACCTCTGCCATATAGGATAATTGTGTCTTTTTTTTCCATATAGGTATAGTTTAACACAATTTACATGCATAATTAGATTTGTATTAGCTTTTATTTTTATTGGCCGAAAATTTTATTAATTAAACCTTTATACAAATAATTAATCAAATAATCATGTTTTGGTAAATAAATGTGTATAACTTGTCTTACTTGCTGTTTTTTTTTATATATATAGATTTTTACGGAGGGGATTCCCCGGACCTTCCTGACGCCCCCGATTTTTATTTCGCCAGACCAGGAATTCCCTACATGCCACGAGGACCAATCATGTACCGACCACCAATCATATACGGATAAACAAAAACGTAAACAAAAACATCAATATGTGTAGTCTTGATTAAATTAAAAAAATTCTGTTTTAAATGGTGAAAGACATTGCATTAAAATTTTGTTTCATATCTAAGATTTATCAGGATCTTTGAATTTTTACAATGACAGTTTTATTATTTGTATAAAAGTATTGCATAAAAATTAATAAGTTACCAATCCTTGTTTGTGTTAAATACATGCATCTAACTGATATGTGAAAAATTCAATTATCGACTTATATCAAATTAATACTTTGAATAAAAAACAAAAGCAAAAACAAATATGCCCTATTGTAATCAAACTCGTATATCCAGTACAAACGAGGATCAAATAAAAAACACAGATGGCTGGAAAACCAGTGGTAGGATCTGATGCTGAGAATAAGTAAACATCCTCTGTCGAGAGGCCACATTTACTACTAAGGTTTCAATCCACATGCTGCAAATGCTCAAAGATTAACGTAGATTGTACTAGAACTGCAAACTGTATAATTGATTACTAGACTTACATATATCCACATGAAAAAAGTTAGATACAGCCTAAAACTTCTTTAAAGGTGCTCCTTCAAATTAGATTGCTGCCTAAGTTGCAGAACATTTTATATTAAACTTAAGATAGCATTTTGAAGTAAAGTGCCGATTTATATGTTTTAGTTTCTTTATATTTGAAAGAAGATATAGGTTTTACTACTATACATGTACAAGACTTATGCGATAATGTCATAAATGAAATTTAATCATGCACTAAAATGTGGTTTTCAAATTGCTAGTTCTCAGAAATTATAAGGACTTTTCTCTCAAGCTTCCGATTGGACACTTTCTTTTACTCACCCTACCTAGATATCAGCAGTACCCATACCCCTTGCCATCTACATGTACATGTGATATATAGCGACCTTTCTAACACAAAATCGTAGATCCATGCCTTTTGAAATAGAATTTTTTTAAACAAATAAATGAGACTTTGCTCTATTTGAAAGAGTAAAATAAAAACTTTGCTGAATGCTAAATATATTTAAGAAATAAGTTATTTGATGAAAACTTTTCTTCTTTTAAATTGTGACTGGAGTAAAATGACAGATTTTATTTTAGAAAAAGTTGATAATATCAAATTATTCAAAATATTATTTGCTCTCTCGCATTAAAAGCTCATAATAGAGTACTTCTTTCTATCAAAAAACATCACTGGTGCATATGACCGTGGAGGATGAGAGTACGTAAGTAAGAATACATGTATTCCATATTTTAGGAAAGGTATGAAAAAGAAACAAAAAAAAATGCTGAGAAAAATGGGTCGTTCAAGTAAATTTTAATCAAACTTTGCACTGAATTTCATACTAATTTACAGTTTACATGTATATTACAACAAATTAAGGACAGTAATATAGATAGGCAATAAAATCGGAACCAGGAGTTTTCAGTTTTTATCTCTAACCAGTAGAAAGAAGAATAGTTTTAGACAAAATACTCGCATGTGTTTGAATTGAAGAGTGCTCTCGTTTAAATTTTCTAATTATTGCGACTTTTTAAGCTTTTTCTCATTATTTGAAATTTAAGAACAAAGAAATATTAGGTATCTCTTTTCAATATCACTATTGCACGTTACCTATCCATTGATAATTCTTTACTGATTATATGCCGATTACAGTTGGGGGTGACCATCATGACAACTTGGGAGCAGCAAATCCTCGCGTAATACATGTATTACATAAATGACCACATCCAACTTCTTACTTCACGTGACAACTGACAGATATAATGTTTATAATATATATCACATATGTTTGTGGACTTTTGAGCTTGAACACTGATATCTCTTCATATTTGATATTTCAGATACAAATTTTAATAATAACAAAATACATGTACTTTTTATTTTCGCACTTTATATTATTTTTTAAATATTATTAAGAAGTTAATTATAACGCGAATTAAATTCTGCTATTTTTATTCATGGCCATCTAAAAGAATTGCAGTTTTTTTTTATAGTTTTTTTTAACCTTTCACGGACAATATATAGCACTGTTGCAACCACCATTGAAATATCGACCATTATTGATATAATTATTTCAATAGTGGTTGAGGGTGCATATCAATAACAAACATAGTATGCAATCACTATTGAAATACGACAACTACTGAAATATTTATTTCAATAGTGGTTGAGAGTGCATTTAAATAGCAAACATAGTATGCAACCACTATTGAAATTCAATAGTGGTTTGGAGTGCATTTCAAAACCAAACATAGGTTGCAACCACTATTGAAATAATGTTCACATTTGAAATAAAGTTTTCAATAGTATTGAAATTATATTATAATGATTTCAAAAGTGATTTAAATAATTATTTTGACAGTTGCTGATAATTGATACTTAAATTACATTGCAAGACTTATTGAAATAACTTAACTATTGAAAAATACAAGGATTAATGATTCTTTATGTTCTCCTGCATTTTTAAATCATTTATTTTGTTTACTTTTAAAATTCCGACTACTTCTGAATGATTATTTTAAAAGAAGTTGAAAGAAGTTGAAAATACGTTTCAAAACACGGTACCACCACATTTTAATCACACCTAGCATTTGAATAAAACTAATACTAACTTACCTGGAAATTTTGCTTTTTAATGTCTTGACGAGAAGACATTGGCTTTGCTGTCCGTATTTATAGTGTAGGTAATCCCATGAATATGAGCGACAATTTAGTTCTATTCTAAATTCTTTTTACTAAAAATATCCATATTTTCATCGGAAAGTTTGTACACAAAATTATCAGTCTTCTTCCTTCATTTCAGTGTAGTCTAGATATTCTAATTTCGACATCTACAAGTTTTTATGCATGATTCTCTCCTTTCAAAATCAATGACAAAAATGAACTTTATATAACAAATTATTTCAAAATTGCATATATTAATTGATTGCAATTGTCTGTTGGTTTTCGCCGATTCGGCCAGATTCAACGGGAGCTTGCTTATAAGATTTGCATACATGTTTGAATTATAGGTCAGTCAGTATTATAACTAGAGAGTCTGCTATTGCATGCAATAGCGTATGTCGCCCCGAACTGGACAAGGCTTTCATTTTTTGTATCACTAAAACAATACCCATTCGCTAAGCTTAGACAACCATCAATTCGTATCCGTCCTTTCAGTACTTTGATTTAAAAATGAAAGTTTAAGATTTTTCACTTTCCCCTGGTTTCCATGGCAATAATCGATTATAATCGATTATTTGAAAATTTTAAATGCGAATCGCAGAACTTCAATTACTAATTACTGAAATAAAAAAAAAGTTTCATGACGAATGTTCAAGGGACCAAAGAGAAATTCGTCGCTTTTTGCAGGTTTCCATGGCAACGGTAGCTATTTTGAAACTGAATGACCACACAACACAACTACAACCAGTGATCGTCCTTTGAGGAAAGTTTCAGGTATGTTGTCCCAGTCATCTTCCAGAAACAGCCTGGATAACAAAAACATGTGTACAATCGCAATATGTCGTCCCGACTTTGTTCGGGGCGACATAATAAATAGTGTCCGTGTATTAATTTAGTTATCATATTTTAAACTCAATAGGTTATTTTATTGTAATAGAAAACAGAATTAGTAATTCATTATTATATTTGTTTTAATATTTGCGATACTTCTATAGAGCTTGCAATGTGGCTTTGGTATTGAAATCAATGTCGGCAACTATATTTATTATTTTAATATCTATTGAAATCATTGTTTAAAGCACTACATACATTGAAATCAATATTTCAATCAGTTTTGAAATATTTCTTTCAAAAGTGAACATTATTTCAACAGTGGTTGCAACCTTTGTTCGGTATTGAAATGCACTCTCAACCACTTTTGAAATAAATATTTCAGTAGTGGTCGTATTTCAGTAGTGAGTGCATACTATATTTGTTATTAAATGCCTTTTCAACCACTATTGAAATAATTATTTCAATAGTGGTCATATTTCAAAATTGGTTGCAAACTATGTTTGTTACTGAAATGTACTCTCAACCACTATTGAAATAATTATTTCAATAATGGTTATTATTTCAATAGTGGTTGCAAGATATAACAATTAAAAACATTTGCAAATAATTTAATTTTATTTGTATTCTCGCCTCTCATTGGTTGATTTCCAAAAAGGAACGCATAACATTTTGTATAATCTGGTTTGGTATGGGGACACACCCCCTTGACGACCAGCTTAATCATCATATCCATGCAATCCCCTCATTTCCAGTCCTCGGAATCCATGGAAAATTCCAGATTTAATAAATGTACCTTCAACTTTAATCAATTACTCGTTCTTACCTCATGTAAACAAACATCATGGCTGCTAGATCTATGTATCAGTTATTACCTCCCCTCGCTTCCCATCAATTCCGTTACTACGGTTGTATTATTGAGCGGCAAATGAACTCATAAAAAGCAACACGATTTTACATCCACAGTTGTTTAATTATTTTAAAATTAGATTATAAGGAATCACTCTAATTCTTGGCCAAAATATTCGAGTATAATCTGTTTTGGGTCAGTTTACGCTTTTTTATACTCCGCGCCGCGTATTATAAAAACGCGTAAACTGACCCAAACCAGATTATACTCGATAATATGGCCAAGAATTAGAGTCATTCCTTAATAAATAATGTTTTATGAAAACGTTTCGTCATCATATGATCAATTTGAAGGAAAAATTCTATAAGCTTTTATTGTAATATCATCTCATCAGCTGGTCATTGTGCTGGACATTGATAATCACTAAATAAATATACTTGATTCTCCCTCTGCCTTACTCCATTTTACGTGCAATAATGATCTATTTGTGTTAATTTTGACTATACCCATGAAAATTAAGGACTTTTATTTCTTAAAAAGACTCAACACAAATTCATTTTTATTTTATTCATCACCAGAGAACAAACGACTTAAGGGATATAGAAAACATCAAAATGGAACTTGTAAAAACAGTCGTTTAATATCTATCTTATCTTTCTAGGTAATATTTTGAACGTTATCTTAGATGAAAA